GTGAAACAAACAAACCATATAAATATACATAATATAATCTGAACCAGTCGAGGAATACTTTTTTACAAGTTAATCTCACCCTATTGACCCCATTATGTGATTCTACCTGTTTTTATTCCCACAGCGTTTAAAAACTTGGGGTACGACTTAAAATACTGACTCGATTAAAAGGATCCACCCTTTTTTTTGTGAGGCATTGTCACTTTCCCCTATTTTTAAGTTTATTGTGTTTGTTTGATATTTACCTGTAGAATGTTGGCCTTGAAACTCTGCTGCCTCGCTTCACATTCGAGGATCTTCACGAAGTGCTCGACGTAATGGACGGCGGTGACGGGCTTCTCACCATCGGTGAGACCTAGCTTGTTGCGCACGATGTCACTCATGCGCTCCAGGTCGCTGACGGTGCACTTCACCTGCGAGATGGTCACCAGGTCTGCAGCGTTGATTAATTTTTTGTGCAGGCCTGCGGCGATGTGGAAGCAGCTGATTGCTGCGCAGTCCAAGTGGGCTGACTTCACCTATAATAAAGAAATTCGTTAATATCATCAAAATTACACAACTTTTATTAAAAATTATGTTAAAAACAACTTTAATGATTAATTCTGAATGAATTTAAGCAATAATTGTTCATAAGTGTGGATTATTTTTTAAATTAATTGATGAAAATACAAAATATTTCATTAAGTTTTAAAAACTAACGTTTTTTCACAAATATCAATGAAATTATTCATAACAAAGTGTAATTACTTGCTAAAATAAGTAAATAATTCATTTCTATTAACAATAATGTTTGCCAGGCATAGTTATTGGCAAATTTATGTGTAAAAACGTGTCGAAATAAACAAGTTGCGTAAAATGTACAATTTGCGTCTTGGCGCGTGTTGTTTTGTGTTTGCGGCTATATCAAGGATGTGCAGGCAGTATCAAAGTCGCAGGCGGAATAAAAACACAGCAGAGTGTGACCTAAATTCGCGCAGCGTCACATATTACCAAATCAATTTCGTTATTTCCTAACGTTCCAACATGTGTGTGTACATTGAAAACATGTGCAGTCAACCAACATCTACTAGCATTGTGACTTATGTCGCGAGTGGATTTATTTTAATTCATTCTGCTGCCGATGGAGCAGCCGTGGGCACTCTATCGACAGAAATATCCACTCGAAGGAGATTTAATGCCAAGATGCCGAGCTATTATTAATTATTAAAGAGTTACTCAAGGGCAAATCGCCATACAACAAGAATAAAAACAAATAACAACATAAACAAACCAAATCAAGAACAAGACATTGAAAATATGATAATTTGAATTATAATCAATAAACGTTTGTTATTAACGTCATTTTGTTGTTATTTTATATTTATTGTGCTTTTTATGAATGTAAAAGTTAAATAACTTGCTATTTATTATTTGCTATGTAACAGCTCGGGTACTAAACATAGTCGGCTGTTGTTTTCGTTATTTTTAACAATTCTTAACCCTGCGCCAGGGTCACAAGTCCGGGTCGGCCATTTTAACAATTGAATAATCATCAGCCGCGAAAAACAAACTTTCTACCGCTTGTTTTGCTTTATTTACACCAAAAATATTCGAAATAAACGTCGAAGAAGAATTTAGAAATCTAACGCATATATTTATGGGTTAATCGTGTTCAGTTTCGTTCGGGTTTCACGCATGAGTAATTTCGATATGTGTGTACTTTGGTATCTCGACTGTAATTGCGTCAGACGCGAACAAAAAATTCAGGAAGCTTAGATAACGATTGAACTGTGATTATTTCGTGTGTTCGTGCGAGACGACGCAGCGCCGTCGACAAGTCTCAACATGTCTGGAACCTGACCAAAAATAAAATCTACCTGAACGATGAACTGTGTAGAAATAAAATAAAATCTCGAAAGGTTCATCCGTTCAAAATGTTCAAATTCCAATGAAAAGTAATACCTACAAGCAAAACAAACAAATCTCTCTCGTGATAAATGCGTAATGGATATTTCATCGATAAACCCGTGCATGTAATAACATTGCTCCAATAGTGCACGCCGAATTCCAAGCACGTGAGCAGTAAACGTTATCAGCGACTAAACAAACAGAAACTGCGCCTTCCGATTAAATATGACTTTAGTATAAGGTTACGGCGCAAGTTACCATGATTCGTCATTATTAACCGTGACGAATTGTTGCAAAATCATAATCATGGATAAACCGTTACATATTGTCACAATTGATGAAACACATACATTTCTATAGATAATAAATGTTGTTTTACGCGAATCAACGATGTATTGTGTTACAAAATGGCGAATTTCATTGTTATCCGTTGGACAAAAACTTGAAATTTAACACAAGATGGTGGAAACATGTATCGAACATGTCCCGAACATGTTTTGAGTCGTCCAGTGACACATCCAGTCGAATTCGTGCGAAAATCGCTTTAATAACCTTAATAATTTAAGCAAAATTCGACAGTTTTATTGAAATTTGCATATAAAGGTCGTTTGGTAACTGGCAGTCAGCTCGCTCAACAAATAAAATATCCAAAAAAGGAGATGGCCGTTCTCAATGATACAACAACTTGTTGTGGTGGAAAAATGTAGCGCACAGCGAACAACGACCGGTACTGTGTATATTCTATGCTAGTCGCGACAAAGAAACCAGTTATGATGCTGATGCTACAACTATGTATACAACAGTCAAGTCCATCCACACTTGGATGCTGTTCTAGCAAACAAAGAAACTTGCGCTGTGGATACATTTCAACGGCACTTGTTGAATCGTAAATAAAAAAAAAAACGTAGGATGCGCACATATTACATCATTATATCACTGACTTTCTAAATATAAAGAATCAATATGTAGTTATAGTTGGCTGTAAATGTTCTACTCATTTGTTTTGTAAACAAAATCAACAACCGAGCGAAGCAGCAGGCAAGAAAGCCTTGATTTTCTGCGTTTGTAGGTCGAAATTTACGTACGTATCGAGTGTTGTTGTTTGTTCTTCGCACGCGAAATTTAATTTATTTAACATGTGCTAGTTATGTTTGCTTTTTGGGGCAAACGATGAGTATTTGTGTAATGGCTACTTTACACAAACAAAACTTTCCTTTGTTTCCTATTTGACGACTAATAATAACCGCCATCTTTGTTTTCACTCGTACTAAATAATCACTTAAACAATAACTTTCTTCTTTTTTTAGGTTTAAAACTATGTTCTACGTGACAAATGACCGTGTTAACAAGTATTTGTTTACAGTGATAATATATTCATTGTTTTTTTTTATCTAAGATAAAATAGAAGATGATGTAAGCATTTTTAAGGTTATAATGTGTTATAGATATACGAAACTGTGTGTAAGTATAGTAAAAAACCGATGTGTAACCGAAGATGAACGAAAGTGAACGAAACTATCATCGACTGACGCCGCAGACAAGTTTGAACATGTCCTGAACAAGTCTATACGTCATGATTCTACCATGACGAATCGCTTACAAATGATGCAAAAATTGTCACTATCACGCAACAGGGATAAGTAATAAACAAAATGGCTGTTGGATTTTACTATGCGAATATGATTTGTAGGTTACCTTGAGTTTGGTGAGAAATCTATCCAGAAGATTCAAGCATGTGATGAACGCCTCGCTCGGCAGCTCGAACCACGTCTTGAGGAAACGCAACTTCCTCGCAGCGACATCCCTGCCGACGAAGGCGTCCTCACCGGTGGCCTGCTCGACGGCGCTGGCGTTCGCCATGAACTTCTGCTCGAGCTTGAGGCTGCGCTCCAGCTCGAAGATGTGCTGCTTGATGACAGCATCCGGGCCAGGCCGGCCCCTACCCTTGTTGCTCCTGCTCTTCATCTTCTCTCCCGCTGCACGCAATCCACCCCCAATCAACACACGAGCAAACAGCAGATCGGATGCGGAATCAGATCGCCATTGTGCGACGCGACGAACAAAGAGTGAGGAGCTGGCCCAGTTTCTGCAATTTGCGTATGCAAGAATACCCAGTAAGTGAGGTGTAAAGTCACGAATGCTATGGCTCGATTTGAGTTCACCGTTTGTTTAATTCCGAATTATTTATTGAAATTGATAATTTGGAAAACGCTAGTGGTTTGCCTAGCGACAAACAAAGAACTGTATCGTTAGCCAAGTTACTGGGACACTGGGATGCTCGATGGATTCGCAATGATTTGCGAACGTTCGCTTACCCGGATGCTTATCGCTAGTTGGCGACTGCGATTGTACTCTTTGTTGTGGGTTGTTTTTGCACACTGGACACTTGGGAAACAAAGAAAAGGTGACTGCCGAAGCTGTTGCTACGCTGCGAGTCGACGAACTTCTACGCCGACGCTGTGCCTAACGCAGAGCTCGACTTGTGGCTGCGTATTACCCCTCCACTGTATCCCCGCCATCTGAACAAACAAAGCCTAGAACATTCCAGTATATTCGAGAGTGTTTTAAGCCAAACTCAACTTTATTACACTTACCATAAATGCTATTATCGTCTGCAACCCAGCGAACAAAAAATAGTCTGCTTGGAATATAGTTGTGCGATCCAATAAGGTTCATTTTTGTATGAGTTGTATTAAACTGCGTTACCCGATGTTGTTTTGAACGTTATGGCGTCCAACAAAATGGTTGAGTATCCTGGAGCGTCCTGTTATGCGCATAGACGCAATCGATACACTTGCAAAGCAAAGCGCTTCAAATTGGAACTAAAACGAAATAAACAAAACGGTATTAATACGCGATCGCTAGGCACGTTATATAAAACCGCTTTTGATAAAATCCCGTGTAATGATGCGTTTGTGAACGTTAGAAAATAAAAACTGCGGCGTTTGCTATGTTGATAGACTCGCAGGAGTTGGGTGCTGAGTCAGCCGTTTTAACATAGGGCAAATCAAAATGTACACCTGTATTTTGTAATGGAATTTACTTACGTGCTTGTACTTTTTGATTAAAATGAGTTTTAAAGTGAAAGTAGGTGGAAATGTAGGCTGAAATTGCGTGGAATTTCTACTATTACTTATCGCACGATTAAGGAGTTGAGTTGGTAAAGGCAGCAAATACGTTTACATAAGCAGATTGCAAAACTTCTTTAAATTTACGTTTAAATTGAATGATTTCAATGTTTTAAAAGTTATATTGTGATAGGCAACACTAATAACTCATTAAAAATATATTATTCTTTGCAATTTGCGAATTGCTATGTGCTAATAAAGGTACAAAGTGTAAGAAGAGTGTATTAATAGTACTTAACTAATTTAAGCTCAAAGTTGTTTCTTTTGTTAAGGTGAAACTATATAGGTTTGAGGGATCTCTGCTAAGAAGGTGCTGCAATAAGTAAAGCACTTTTAAATCTTTGTGTAACCGGAACCTATTCTAAGCTGAAGGCTTTCTGAAGCTGCTGAAGTAAAACCATTACCAACAAAGATTTTAGCTGTTTAGTTAATAAGTGAACGAATGTTACAAGACCCCACGCAATGAGCTAAAAACGTTAATATAGAAAAACAACCGAAAACAAGACAAAAACTTAATTTAACCTAAAATTTATTGAAATTTGCATATAATAGAAGAATTATGTGCAGAAAAATTGATTTTTGAGTAATTTTTGTGAAGTTTCTAGACTGTGATTATTGATTAAACATTGTTTAAACTCTGATTTAAAAACAATAATCTAGACTTCAACAGTATGCAACCCAAAATACACCAAGAAAAACAAATGTCTATATTTGCAATACTAATCCATGTTTTATTAATTAATCATTGAATAAGCAATACGTAACTGAACGAAGCACAAATACCGAGTTTTTAGTTACGTATTGCTAAAAAACGAATAATAAAAATCGTTCTATAAGGTTGTTTTACGCGTTAAAACGCAGATTAAAGCTCAAAACGTGCTGTTTTGCTAAAATAATCATATTCAAGCATTTTAGATCGTTGAAATCGTTCAAATAGACGCAATATTAATAAAAAACGAATAATAAAAATTTCTTCGTTTTTATGCTGTTTTTCGCGTTAAAACGCAGATTAAAGCTCAAAACGTGCTGTTTTGCTAAAATAAGCATTTTCAAGGATTTTAGATCGTTGAAATCGTTCAAATTGACGCAATATTAATAAAAAACGAATAATAAAAAATTCGTCGTTTTTATGCTGTTTTACGCGTTAAAACGCAGATTAAAGCTCAAAACGTGCTGTTAGCAAACTGTTGCGCACTGAACGCGCGTCTTATCCTTTTATATCATCCCGTCCATCCCATGGCCGGAGCGTCGTCCTCGGCGTCCTCCTCCTGTCGCAGGACCCCGTGGGCCGTGGGCATTCCGTCGTTTCGTCGTTTTCCAATCAAATTAATTGAGGAACGAGGAAGCCCTGCGAGGCATCCGCGCCACTCCAACTCTCCACTCCGACCGGACGTGCGCGAAATCCTGCAAGATGAGCATGGGCATGATCAGCGTCGATAAGGCAAACAATAATAACAATTATGGCTCTGACGATATGATATATGTGTGGCAGGACTTTTATAGACTGCGCGCATGTTTGGGCGGTGTGCGTGCAAACACGATTAAATGAAATTTGTTGTATTTTTGTTTCACATTCAATCACACACTGTTGCGGGGCGCAGCGATGCGTATTTTATGTTTGTGTTGAAACAATAGAGAGGTAGATCAACATTAGGTAGCTGGATTCGTTGATTTGATTGGGGATGAATTTCGACTGGATTGTTTAAATAGTGAGCGATGTTTAGTTACACGTTGTTAATTTTTATCAATTTCTCGAAAGCTTGAAGTAAAAAGTTTTAAAAAAATTAAAATTCTATAAAAATTGTTACTTTTCTTATACCTTTAACTGTGGTGATGAAAGGACTTATTTATCTCCACAATTTAAACACGTTAATACTTTCCTGCCTTTAAATCCAATCAAAAGTTGATAAAAATGATTTTTTTCCAAATTTTTGTAAATAAATTTTGAAAACACCTTAAATCTCGAATTTATCCATTTTGCAGTATTTCTTTACTTAAATTAAGTTGTTTCTATCAAAACTCATTCTTGACTTCAGTTATTTTTTAATATTTATTTTTTCCCTTGAATCAATTATGGAAATTCTTATTTTGTTATTTGTTGATTTTGTAATACTAATATAGGCAACCAGTTAATCAGACAACAATATAACTTGTCAAATTTTTTGTGGGCTTGATTGCTCCTGGATATTCTCGTTAATGAAATAAAACGAGCAAATAAACGTAATTTTCGGCCATAAAATATGTTTCCTAATTGATACAACATGCTACATAGTAGCAGTCGTTTATTTAATTACAATTTAGGCGCGTATTTACTTTTACTCTCACTAAAGAAGCTAATCAATTGTTTTTTTAGTACTGCCAAAATAAAAATAGTTTTTAAGTATTTTTGGAATAATGGAAACTTTCAATAGTAATTATACTGAATCAATCGCTATGTAGTTTTGTTCTCCAGTTCTTTTTTTGTCAATAAATGAACAGGGTCGTATTTAGATCATTTTTTCGTAGTTGGCAGCGCTGTAATGCGAACATAATTAATAAATTGATTAATAAACATGAAAAAACAAATACAATATTTGAATATTTCTGCACAACCTAACCTAAAAATATGCAAATACTAACTAATCTAACAAAACAAACAAATTACCTGATATAATACAACATAACAATAACAGATGAGCATTGAGATCATTCATTTTTAATGTATTTTATAAAATGTACTCATGTCCATATGCGTCATCGCACTACAGCACTGTTTAAAACATAACCTCGTTCATAATCGACATAATCGTTATCATTTCCACCCACATTAATTGCATAATCACTCCACCACTCTCGAAATGTTTAGTCATCTTTAGTCTACGTATAAAAATTAGCCGAATAAGAAAAAACGAGCAATATGATTTACATTTACAAGTACAATTTCAAGTGTAACAATCAAAGAAAAAAAACTCCCTAGCATCCTCACAACGCCATTGTGTGTTCTGCAATATTTTGGTTATTCGTTTACAACTTGTAGAAAATATAGCGTATGTACAACTATCGTCTACGGATTAAATACAAAGAGCTGCAATCATCAGTGTTGTCAAACGTTATTCAATTTAAACTAAACATACATAGCAGTACACAAAATAAATATTCGTTGTTTAAAATATTTCTCTAACCTAAGAGCGGTAGTAGAGTGAAAGACGATGAGGTCCATTGCTCATGCGCAATGCGTAACCAACCAACCAACACGCAAAAATTGAAAATTCATTCGTTTTTTGTTCGGATACGTTATGTTTCACTTTGCGCATGCGCAATGCAAAACAGAAATAAAACTAGGCTTAAGCTAAATGTTGTATCACACGTCTAAGAAGTCTTTCAGTAGTGTCACGCGCCGCTTTTCGGCAATGTCCATCTGGTTCTCGAGGTCGCCGCGATCGGTGGTCTCGGCTCGCTCGATCTTCCACGAGAGGTTCTCGATCTCCGCCTCCAACTGCGCCTGCTGGTACTCGAACAAGGAACTGCGCGAGCCTGGCTCCATGAAGTACGCGTACGGGTAAGTGTATTGAAGTGTGTAGCGACACTTGGCGAGCAGATTCGCCGCCACGAAGAGGTACTGCCAGTCGATCCATGTGCCCAGGCCGGCCATTACCTTTTGGTTGATGCGTGTCTTTAGTTTTCTAGGGTTTCAGCTTCGAGTTTCAAGGACTTCGAGTGGTTCTCCCAGCGGCCGTAGTAGTGGAGGTATTTTTTCAGTGCTTCACGCGCCTGGAAGGGAAACAATTGTAAAATGTTTAGTAATTAATAATAAAAAGTACTAAACTTGTAGAAATTGGCCATATTTGATTAAAAAGCTTAAATTTCACTTAAATATTACGATTTTTGGTTAGAATTTGATGTTTCGTATCGTTGAACTCGTTTTAAGCAAAAATGAAATTTGAAAGCATGTAAAACTTGAATAAAGTGAAATATTATTTAAATTTCTGTTTAAAAATCCTAATTCTATGTTTTAATCTCTTTTTTACGTCGAATAATCCTAGAAAATCAACTTTTTAACCAAAATTGAAGTTATGCAACTCTTTTTACACATTTTTCTTGCAAATTTTTGACAGATTTGTCAGATTTTACCCTTTTTTCATGTTTTACAACAGAAAATATCAGCAAAAACACTAAGAAACACCCCAAACTTTTTCTTTTCAACTTTTTCTCTTTTTTATCTTTTTTTTAAATTTTATATATTCTTAAATTACCTGAGCGTGAATAGATTCGTGAGCAATATTAGGATTGTCCTTGTACCGCGAGCACTCATAGTACTCCGACCCATGCTGCTTCCAATCGCCGAGGCACATCCAGCAGAAATCGTGCTTGCAGTTGTAGCACTGCATGTGATTACAACCGCCATTCTTCTCGATGATGATGTGGCACTTGGGGCAGTCTTTCGTGTGCGCCGAAATGTAATTCGACGTTTCGCTATCATCCGCGCACTTTGTCAGCCATTTCTTGATCACCAAGCAGTCTGTTGGTGCATGATAATCCATTCCACATCTATAAAAATATTAATTAGTGTTTGATAAAAATTATTTCAGGGAATAATTAATTACCTGAAGCAAAATATCGACTTGCATTGATTGCAAACCGAGCGCTTCGCTTTACACTCCTTGCTTTTTATCACCACAGCGCAATTGGGGCCCGGACAGAAGCGCAGCTCCGGATGTGACTTGACGTAGTCCTGGAATGAGAACTGCTGATACTTTTCGCGCATGTCCGGCTGCGTGAGGTGCTTGAGGACGAAATCTTCAGGCGCCAGCACTTCGCAATCGCGTGCCATGCAACTAATTGCCGTTGATATTCCCTAAATATACAATTAAATCAATATAATTTTATTATTCATCACAATAGAATTAAAAATACTAATACCTGATTAATTTGAACTTCAAAATGCATCGCCCAGCAATCCTTGCAGAACATATGGCCGCACAAAAGGCTGTAGAACTTATCGTTGTGCTGCGCCTGCACGCACACGGTGCAGTTGAGCAGTCGCGTCGCATTCGCCAGCGATAGCGTCGAAGACGGCTTGATTTTCGAGCCGATGAGGAGCTTATTTGCATCGTCACGGTATTTTGTTGTTATGTCTTGCACAGCCCAGTTGTGAGCATGTAACAATAACTAGAAAACAAAAAATTATGTTCATATTTGTTTACACAAAAGTTTCAGGTAGGAAAATAAGCAAATAACTTAAAATAACAACAATGACAAGCTAGTTATTTGAATAACAACATTTAAATCATGTTTAATCATCAAATAACAACCAAAAATTGAAATAAAATGTATTTTTGTAGTTTTCAGCTACAAAAACGTTCATAACTTCAAAAATAACTTAAATATTCGTACAATATTCACTCAAGAAACAAATAAACACATTTTCAAAACATATTTAGACTTTGATCAAGTATTAATCTAATTATTTACTAAATTAATACCAAAATAATGCAAAAATTTCTTTTAAAAAATCAATATATAAATAAATTACTTACTTTGGCAAGTGATGGTGTAATATGTACATTATTACTAAGCGTCTCGACGGACTCATTCAGCAGTCTCTCCACTTGCTCCTCGGTGAGGCAATCATAAGAAAAGTACTCTGGATCCCTAGCAGACGGATCGTTCTGCTCCATGTCGTTGTCGTCCTGATTCCATTGGTTATAGTAAACGTCGTCGTCGTAGGCCTCGTTGTCGGAGCACTCCATGTCCGAGTCGTCCTGCACGTCCTGAAACTCGGCGTCCATCGCGTCGACACTGGTTCATCCACCGGGGCCACCAGGACAAGAAGGAATGCAATTCGTACTTTTCTAGAACTACTCGATTATAGTTGTGGTGCTAATGTGGGGCGTTCTGCGTTGACGCTTCATTTCCAAACAAAGTGATGTTCTTTTGTTTCTTTTTTTCTATGACTCGAAGAACTCGAGCTGGATAACCAAACGAATTGATCTAACAAATCACCAAAATCACCTGTTTACTGTCAGACGCCATTTTATTCTCGACACACGCACGTACACACGCGCAGAGGACTTGCAAGTGTCAACGACATTAAATGAAGCGATTAATTGGGAATTATCAACAATATATGAATTGAAATTAATAAAATAGATGTATATTTATAATTTAAATAGATATTATTAATACTTTTATTAGGTTTTGGAGAGAAATCTGTTTTAGTTTTAAATATTTTGAATTATGCGCCATCTTCAGATTCTAAATCTATTGGTTTAGCAAATTTAATGCAGTATAGGCAACCAACATTACACCAATTGTAATAATCCAAAAGTTATAAATTAAAACAAGATATTATTAAATTAACTCAATAATAAGCATATTTTAAACAATAAACCGTAAGAGTTTAAATGTGCATTAAATTTGCTTTTGTTTTGTGAAAAGAATTTGCTATAAAATTCAAATAAAAATCGCACAAGTTTGTGTGCGTTGTGATTGGCCGCGGTAGTTAGGCAACCTTGTGACGCCCAGCAAAGAACAAATGAATGTTTAGTGTGTTGACATTTGGCTAGAACTGCCAGAAGTGAAATGGCGTCAACACCGTCGTCGCATTCGCGTTAGAATCATCGTTATCAGGGAGTCCTTGCTGTCCTCGCTCCTGCAGCCGCCTGCGCACGATAATGTTCAACGAGCTTTACACGTTCCGCGCGAGAGAGAAGCGCCGCGAGTCGATGCGGAAGTGATATCGCCGCCGCCGTCGTCGTCGGATGGGTGCGAGGGGTGTGCACTGAGTCGCAGTCCGCAGCCCCCACGTTTACCATCCCCAGGTTTTATTTCAATTTAATTATATCTCTCTCTCTGTCTCTTCTCGCCGCGAAACGGTTAATTGATAAAATTTAGTGTAATTTAAGTTCGAATTGTAAGTATAAGTAATCCAAAGCACCCACACGTTTTTTACATCAAATTCATATATAATTGTCTAATTAAATTGAATGATTTGTTTGTAACAGGGTTAAAATGGCTCAACCCATACCCAATCAGAAGCGTAATCGCGTGTCGGTGACCGTCGAGCCGTCCGGATCATCTTCAGGCACTTCTGCTTCATCCAACAATCAACTGTCACAGATTCCCAATCCTGGTACTCTGACTGATGAATTGGCCGCGCTGTTCGAATGCCCGGTGTGTTTCGATATGGTACTGCCGCCGATTATGCAGTGCCAAGTGGGGCATTTGGTTTGTGCCAGCTGCAGGCCCAAGTTGACATGTTGTCCCACCTGTAGGGGCACTCTAGGTAAACTTTTTCAATATTTACTTAATATTTATCTCCAAATATTCATATTTGTGTTGTATTAGGTGATATAAGAAATTTGGCGATGGAGAAGGTGGCCAACAACCTGATGTTTCCATGCAAACACAAACAGAATGGCTGCCGGATGTCGCTTGGGCTCAATGAGAAAGCCGAGCATGAAGAAATCTGCGAATTTCGGCCCTATAGTTGTCCATGTCCGGGCGCTTCATGTTCCTGGCAGGTAATGATTAAATTTTGTGTTAAAAAATATGAGAAATTTGTTTATGTGTTGAGTTTTGTGTTTTGTAGGGTCAATTAGAAAAAGTTATGATTCACTTAAAGCACGCGCATCAAAACATTACCACTTTGAACGGTGAAGACATCGTTTTTCTGGCGACGGAGATCAATCTGCCTGGGGCTGTGGATTGGGTGATGATGCAGAGTTGTTTTGGGCATCATTTTATGCTCATTCTGGAGAAGCAGGAGAAGGTGGATGGGCATACGCAGTTCTTTGCTATTGTGCAGTTGATTGGCTCGAGGAAACAGGCGGAACATTTTGCCTACAGGTAAGTAAATTCAACTTTTTCTGTTTTAATCAAACTACAATCAACAATAAGTTTGATTGACATTCTGGGAACAACTTGATATGTTTTGTAAACATTTAGTGTTGTATTGTCAACAATCAGACCTGCGAATGTATTAAATCAAGCAAAAAGCTTGAGGAAATAATGAAAAATTAAATTTTGCCAACGGTTTTTTGTTAAATTCAAGAAATAAAAGTGAAAATGGTCGGAAAATGCAGAAAAGTCACGTGATTTGATAGATTTTGTTTGAAAAACTGCTTTTTTATATCAAATAATGAACAAATATCAATTTATACCATAAAATTACAGAAAAAAACATGTAGAATCTAAAAATATCAAAAATTAACCAATTTTTTGACAATTTAATGCATTTTCAGATTGGAATTAAACGGTAATCGCCGTAGACTGACCTGGGAAGCAATGCCGCGCTCGAGTCACGAAGGCGTCGCCTCCGCCATCATGGGCTCCGATTGCCTGGTGTTCGACACGTCGATCGCGCAGCTCTTCGCCGACAACAACAACCTGGGCATCAACGTTACCATATCGGTGGTGTGCTGAGCGCGCGGCGCGCGTACAGTTGAGTATCGAGGCGCCTGTGACGCGCTCCCCACACACACACTCAGCAGACTTTGGTTGGTTTTTATTTATTCTCATTATGCAACACAAGAACCGAATGAACACCAAGATATCTCTAGTTATCAATAGCCACACACTTGGAATATCAGTAAGAAGATGTTGTTACTTATAAAATAAGATTAAACGAGTTAACGAATACACACTTGACTCTTGCGTAAAGAGTTTTCTGGTTTTCATTGTGAACAGACTGACTGATGGAGGAAACAAAAGTAATCAGATGAATATGTATGATGATTGGCGTGGCAACGTATTTGTTGGTTGGCGTGAAGGAGAAAACTATTTTTAAACACAGAAAGATGCTAAGTGATAAAAAACGAACAAGATACTTATGAGGGCTTTTGTTTTATGTTTGTGATAACTAGCTGTTAAGAGTGTTTACTGATTATGTCCCGGGAATATCTTCATTTTATTTTCGTTCTTGTTTTGTTCATTATTTCTCGAATTCTTGTTTGTTTTACTTTTGTTCAATTATTTCAAGAGGAGTTGATGATAGGGTAACGGAATTGGCGTTTTGTTCGTTTGTATCGTTTGCATGAGGCACTTGATGGCAGCTAATGTTTGACGGATAGTCGCAAGTGATGCTGAGAAAGAGGTGTTTTGCTTTTTCCTTTTGTACATTTCACACTCGGTTGCGTTTACCTGGTAACTATCAAATAGCGCAGGCGATTTGTCAAAGGATACTTTGTAAAATAACACTTAAAATACAAAATACAAATTTATATAAAATAAAATATTAAACTTGAATTTATGGGGTTTTATTCTGACTTTTATGTCAGAGTTTTTCAGTGTTCGTTAATTACAGATTGTTCAAAGTTGTTCAACATTTTGATAATTATACAAGTGAAGTTATTAGCTACTCTAAGCAGTTTTAATTAGTTAATATTGTTTAAAGCTAATTCTGTTAAATAATAATGCATTGAATTGTTTGTATTGCCATTTTTCAGTGAAAATGTTGAAAATAGAAAATTGAAAGTCACGCTGTATAATGTCTTGTTGTGTAATGTTGATTGCCTACCATTACATAACATTTTCCAAAAATATCCTTTTCCAAGTGAAAAAACGGCTTGAAATGGACTTTTTGCTATGTTTTCTTTAAATATTACTAATAATTATGTTATTAACTATTATTAAAATAGGATTTTACACACAACAGCACTAATAAACAAACAAAAAACGGATTTTTGCATGTATTACGCTTTAATATGCAAGAAAATTAATTATATTTTATTTTTATTGAGTTAAAATACCTAATTCCTGCTATGGTTATTTATTACAATAAAATAAAATAAACAACAATAGTTATCTCCCATGTTTTTTCTTCTCAACCGTGTATCTAATACTGAAGGCCATGTAAAACAATTAATACATACGATATGTCGCTAGATGCCGCTACCAATACCAATCTGAACATTTTACTAACAAATTCTTAACTTGTTTACAAGTATTTGCAGTGAAAAATTCACCTTCTAATCCTTATAATCTAATACTGAAGGCCATGTAAAACTATTAATACATACAATCTGTCGCTAGATGCCGCTACCAATACCATTCAGAATACTTTATTAACAAATCACGAACTTGTTTACCTGAATTTGCAACGAAAGATTCAACTTATAATCCTGTTTATCTATTGTTGAAGGCCATCTAAAACTACTAATACACAGTTTTTGTCGCCAGATGCCTCTAGCATGTCAAATCCGAACATTTTACTAACAAATTCCCAACTTGTTATTATACATTTGCAATGAATGAATGATTCACGCGGCAATTGAAGCATTGCGCTGCGCCGGCAAACCAAACAAACCGCACAAAGCGTGACCGTTGACGGACGATTGTCCACCGTATATGATATTACTGATTAAATTTCAACCGATGCGCTATGCTGAGCCGGCGAATATTGTTCATGTACATATTCATATGATACTTACAATCGTGAGTTCAATAGTTCAACTTCACAATATATATACATGTATTAATAAAGACACTTGATAAGTGTACTGTATAATTCTGATTCTGATTGTGGTTGTGCTTGTACCAGATTGATAATGGAGTTTTCTGGATTCCCATTTATTGACTAACAAGTAAAAGTAAAGTAAAAGAAATAATTGGAATAAGTGGCACTTAACAACTGAATAAATTGCGTTTTCCGCGTGGTTTCCACTCAGTTATTGAAATAACGCGCGTGAAACAATGGCGGTGTTGTTGTGTTTACTCTTGGTGACTGTTTTAACCACGAGGGACATTTCTGCAAGTCCATATTCTTATAAAACTTTAACTTTGAGTGTCCCACTGGATCATTTCAGGTAAAAAATATAAAATTTACTAAAAACAAAGTAAAAACCTTTAAAAATCATTTTTCTAATAGTTACCGATCAAATGCAACGTTTGACTTGAGATATCTCGTGAATGATTCACATTGGAAACCAGAGGGACCAATTTTTTTCTACACCGGAAACGAAGGTGACATTGAAGTCTTCGCGCAGAATACCGGATTAATGTGGGAGATTGCGCCTGATTTCAATGCCATGCTAGTGTTTGCTGAGCACAGGTAACCTAAAAATCACTAAAATCAAAAGTTTGGTTATGTATTATAATATAACCTAAAATATTATAGATATTATGGAAAAACAATGCCGTTCCAAAACAAATCATACTCAGACGCTGAACATCTTGGTTATTTATCATCAACACAAGCCCTGGCTGATTTTGCTTATCTTCTGGATAATATACAAACAAATATTGCAAAAAACAATAAAAATAAACCAGTTCCAGTGATTGCATTTGGTGGATCCTATGGTGGAATGCTCGCTGCTTGGATGAGACTTAAATATCCATGGGTTATCAATGGTGCTGTAGCATCCTCCGCCCCAATATATCAATTCCAAGGACTTACTCCTTGTAACACTTATTCTAACCTAGTCGCTGATGTTTTCAACGTCTCATCAAAAACTGGTGAATGTCCAAAGAATATAAAACGTAGCTGGGCGGCCATAAGGTGAAATAAAACAACATAACCTCAATTATAATATAATAAAACATAACATAACCTATATTATAGAAACATAACCACAACAAAAGAAGGTCGTGATTGGTTGACGAATGAATGGCACCTCTGCGCGTCCCTAAACAGCACCGAAGATCTTTCGAAATTAAACGACGCAGTGAAGAACATTTTCAGCGTGGTGCCGATGATTAATTATCCTTATCCAACTGAATTCCTCATGCCGGTCCCAGCACACCCCGTTCGTGAAATGTGCGCGCACCTGGACGATAAGAAGACATTGGACATGGATCTGCTCACTGCAATTGGCAAGGCATTATCAGTTTACACGAATTATACAGGCGCTACGAAATGTTTTAATGTGAATAACACCAATGGTAATATTGATGGAAATGGTTGGGATTTTCAAGCTTGTACTGAAATTGTCATGCCTTATTGTGTTGATAACGCCAACGGTATCTTTGAACCTGAATCATGGGACTTCCCAAAATTCTCAAATGATTGTATACAAAAGTTTGGCGTGTCTGCAAAGCGTGAAGACTACGCTATTTTGAATTATGGCGGGAAAGACGCGGAATATTCAAATATTATCTTTACTAATGGATTATTGGATCCGTGGTCACCAGGTGGCGTTCTCAACTCATCCAGTACTTCTGTGTATACTATTGTCATACCGGATGCGGCCCACCATCTTGATTTACGTGCTAGTAACCCAGGAGATCCGGATACTGTCAAAAATGCACGCACACTCATCCAAAACATTCTCCATGTTTGGTTGAAATCAATCTCGAATAATGTTTAGAACACCCTGTATATTTTTTAACTCCTAGATGTAGATAAATAGTTGAAACGAGTTCTTTCCCAAAACTCCGCAGGGCATTCTTTGTAGACTCTTTGCCAAATTACCAATAAAAAGCGATGTTTAAACTTAATCATTGTTAAGGAAACTTTGACATGATGGATATTATATTTTATCACCGGAAAATTACACGATGACGTAATCATTTTTTCCCTCACCACGCTGAAAAGAATTCCACGCGACATCTTAATCTTCATTATTGAGGTTATGAATAAATGAAGAGAAGTTCACCCCGGGCGATAAATAACGCGCAAAAAGTGTTGAAGATTAATGGCGGCCAATAAACCGGCGTCCTACTTCATTTGAATGTGATTTATGTCAAATGTCATCAACTGTGTGAGGTAAAAAAGTGTTTGCGCTACAATTACTCGTGTTTGAAGTGGGCGACGAGTGGAGACACTTGCGAAACCAGAAATTGCGTCAGGACGACAAACTACAAGTGTGCAAGATGTGTTGCCGCGTTCCAAGGCGTCCTCTAACAGCTTCAACACTGCACGATCAAATCATCTTCTTTTGTCGGGGCCCTCGTGCGTTTTCATTGATGGCGTTCTACACCCACATGGATAATGCGCGTGTGAAAGCTTCGCGTAACAAGAAGCCGACAGGCGTTGAATGCGCGCCGCCGTCAGGAGTGCTCCACGAAGACACGACGCCGACAAATGGCGTGTTCTTCGACGGGGTCCTCGATAGTCTGCTTTACAGGATTTAGCATATAATGAGACACTTGAGTTTGTTGGAAGTTGGCGCGACGCGTTGGAAGCAAGCGTATACAAGATGTGTTCTCAAGTGTTCGTTACATATGCTTCATCTGAAAAGCCAGCGATAAAATTTAATTTCAAGCGTGTAATATGGGTTGCCTAGAGTTTTTGTTGAGTTTTCCAATCGAAACAATTATAGGTGGCTTTGTTTCGGTGGAAAAGTTGAATTGAACTGAAGACGACACTTCGAATCCGTTCTTTTTTTGCTTCTTTTGATGGTTTAGCACAATCGAATTCGCGGGATAACAAATCGTGGACATTTTTCTTTTACGCGCTGTAGGGGAGTGGAAAAACAAGGCGCGAGGCGCAATAACACGACAAGGACACTATCACGGTAACCAGGCATTTACAGAGACGTATTTAAATCGTTTTAAAACATTTTAAAACCTAAAAACAAAAATTACTTTTTTATTATTTTAGTGTATATTGTGTTGCCTACCTTAAACATACACAATGTCATAATACAAAATCCGTCTCTGTTTTGTAAGACTTGTAAGACATAGCAAAAAAGGGTGAGGAT